GGAAAAGTCAAAGTCAAAAATATTGCTGCAGTTGGATATTTACATCAGTATGCATCAACATAATTATGAACTTTGATAAAAATATCTAGAAAGTTTCTTTGAGCCCGATAGAAAGACAGATGGAAGGGTGGAGGACGGACATGACAAAAACTTTACATGTATTCCTAATCATGGTGTGGCATAAAAAAAACTTGAATCTACATTATATGAGGATGTTTCCATCTATCAAGATTATACAAGCAAATTCAAAGAATTGTTTTCCTCTGCTTTCTGTGTTTCAGTGAATGGGATGCCATAATTTATGGCTGATTACAAATGTGTAAAATATGCACCCATATCATATATGAATTTTTGAAAATTAGGTCAAAGGGGAAAAATCATAGCATGCTCTGAAACATTTTGTTGTAGGTAATGTACATGTCAAATGTGAAAGTCCTATCTCTTTTGAATCAAAATTTATATATACAATTATAATATTTTTGAAAAGTAGGTTAAACTTCTAGGTCAAGGTCACAGAGTCAAAAGTCATGACATTTTTAAAAAAGTCTTTAGGTACTTGTTTACTCAGAAGGAAAAAAAAATCTACTGATGATAATTAAAACTCGTATTAAATCAGCAAGACACACGTATGTATTGACAAAATCTACTTTAAAACATGTAGGTCAATGACCTACTTTTTTTGCTATTAGCCAATGAAATTAAAGCATGAATTCGCCATTGTAGATATGGATTTTTTAAGGTTACTTCAATCTTTTACTATAATTTTTCTTGCGGGCATGCAAGTGAAACATTCTACCATATCAATTTATAAATTAAGGTGTTATCTTAAAAATAACAACAAAATTATTACAGAAATCAATCACGTTTTTATTTTCTGTAACCCGAATTTCCTCTGTTTCATGACATTTTATGCATGTAAATAAGCCTGATTTCATTCAAATATTCTAAAAATTTGACTGATGATAACTCTTATTGGTTGTTTCATACATACAGAGAACATCTTATAAAAAATAAAAATTAATCACAAAGTGGGTGTCAATGATCAAAATTTTGAGATATTTTGTTACAAATAACCTGAATTTCCTCCGTTTCATGACATTTTCTGCACATAAATAAACCTTTTTCATTCAAATATTCTAAAAATTTGACTGATGGTAACTCTTATTGGATGTTGTATACAAACAGAGAACATCTTATAAGAAATAAAAATTAATCACAAAGTGGTTGTCAATGATCAAAATTTTGAGATATTTTGTAATAAATAACCCGAATTTCCTCCGTTTCATGACATTTTATGCATATAAATATACCTGTTTTCATTCAAATATTCTAAAAATTTGACTGATGATATCTGTTATTGGTTGATTTATACATATACAAAGTACCCTATAAGATATAAAAATGAAACATAAAGTGGGTGTCAATGATCAAAATTTTTAGATATTTTGTTACCAATAACCTGAATTTCCTCTGTTTCATAACATTTTATGCATAAAAAGGAACCTGATTTCATTCAAATATTCTAAGAAATTGACTAATGATAACTCTTATTGGTTGTTTTATTCATATAGAAAGCATTCTATAGGAAACAAAAATGAAACGTAAAGTGGGTGTCAATGATTAAAATTTTGAGATATTTTTTACGAATAACCTGAATTTCCTCTGTTTCATGACATTTTATGCATATAAATTTACCTGCCTTCATTCAAATATTCTAAAATTTTGACTGATGATAACTGTTATTGGTTGATTTATACATTTTGAAAGTACCCTATAAGATATAAAAATGAAACATAAAGTGGGTGTCAATGATAAAAATTTTTAGATATTTTGTTACCAATAACCTGAATTTCCTCTGTTTCATAACATTTTAATGCATAAAAATGAACCTTTTTTCATTCAAATATTCTAAAAATTTGACTGATGAAAACTCTTATCGGTTGATTTATACATATATAGAAAGCATTCTATAGAAAACAAAAATGAAACATAAAGTGGGTGTCAAATGATTAAAATTTTGAGATATTTTGTTACAAATAACCTGAATTTCCTATTTGATAACATTTCATTATTATTAAACCTATCAGAACTTCTAGATTGTGCCTTTCTGAGACAATCAAAGTTTAGGCCACTACTGGTTACCTTCCTTGCCATTCTGACACTCAGAAGATTTTTATCAATCAAACATTGAAAGAATGGTATGTTTTTATCTACAACTTTCTGGTAGTTACATGTATGGACACTCAAAGCATACTGAAATGTAAATGTACAAGATGAATGTTCATCATCACAAGAATGAACAGTGTCATATAATTTATATAAACTTTTCAAAGCTGAAACATCTTCTACAGTATCATGTGCATTGTAAGTACATTTTAGTAACACTTCTGATAAATATTGCCGGTTATATGAACACACACTGGGATGGACAAGTTTGAATAGAAATCTGGTAATATCTCAAAAAAAAAACTTGTACACATTTGACACTCGATAAAACAGTGAACAAGAATCTAGAGTATGAAAAAGAACATGAAAATCAAAACCTTTGATATTGTGGCCAACTAAAAATATATTCCTTGCTTCTCCATAAAGCTTAAAAAAGAACCAAGTGCACTTGAAATTGAAACAGGTTGACTTTCCTCTCATGGTGATTAGAGTTTTTTCTGCAGTCATGATCTTTGAGGTCTTTTCCATTTGTAGTAGCATTTTCAAAAATTGTGCAACATTTCGTTCTGATTTCATGACTTTGCCTGTCTGAGATTCAATCATGGAGCAATGACCTAAAAATATGTTTCAAATTAACATTTATGCAGTTTGAGTTATTAAAGGAATAAATTTGTTATATTCAATTTCATATACATTTATGAACGTTTGTTATGAAATATATTTATTATAAAATATATAAATATTTTATAAAGAATTGGAATTTTACTTTGTTAAACATTAAATTCCTTTTAAAAGAAACAAGACGTGCTTGTGAAACACAACCTGGTGGCAACTAAGTTCCAATAAGTTATTTTTGGCATAAAGGTCACAGTCCAGGTCACAGTCATTGACCTTGGTGTCGTTTGAAAGAGCATAATTAGTGAGGTATGCATACCAAATATGAAGTCTCTATCTCCTACTGCAAAAGTTTGAAAAAGCTTATTTCACAGTCAAGGTCACAAGGTAATTGACCTTGGTGTCATTTGATAGCTACAGCTTAATTAGTGGAGTGTTCAAAAGTTATGGTGAGGTAAAGGTTGACAACAGACAGACAAACAAACAGACAGACGAGACAAAAAACAATATACACCCTGATTTATCGATCTAGGCGCATAAAATGCTCAACATACCAGAGAGGCTGTCAAAGGATGGCCCACTGCCTGGTTTCTGCCAACCTGCATCAACACTGACTGTTAGCTTGACTGTACCTTTAATCCTTAAAAATCATAAGGAGACTGTCAGAAACATGAAGCTAATTGGTTTTCCTTACCTTGATTGTGGTTGTTCTCTTAAAATGTACACTTTTTAAATCTGAAAATTACATGTATAGGATTTACTTCTTACATGTATGCTAAAGATGCATATATTGGAGAATAGAAATACAGTAAGCGAAGTCCCGGGCGGGGGACCTGCAAATTTGAAAATTTACTATATCCATTATTGGTTATATCAGTATAACGAATTTGTATAACTGTATACAGCAATTGCAATTTTCACGTTTTCCATCAAGTATTTTTATAGAATATGTACGAAGAGCTGTTGTTACAAAACATTCCTTGGATAACTATGGTTTCATTATGAATTGAATTTTATACACAAATACTTGCCAAAAATAGTCAGTTCAATATATATCAATTTTTCAAAATTCATTAAAAAAGATGTGAATTTCATTTTTTTTAAAAACCTCTACAGGAATCAAATCAGTTTCAAGACTATATTAATAAATTTGTTACATCAGAATTCGTTATAACCATGTAATTTTACAAAAAAATGTTCAGAATTTTTGCTGGGGACCCCGAAAACTTCACTATATCTGTGAATTCACTATATACATATTCCTACTGAATTAATTTTACTGTACTAAAATTTTTAATGACGTCATCTATTAATTTTAATTCTGATAGAAACATTATAACTTCATTTAAATCAAATATATTTTAGTGTCCTAAATATTCAAAAAAAAAAAAAAATCCTATTACAATGGACATTTTTTTTCTCTATGTACATACTTACAGTTGCCTGAATTTCATCATGAAGGCTGCTTCTGGTACTTTCTACTGCAGTTTTCTCCAGAACTGGTCCTGTTTCATGTTGTCTGTTTTGCAGAGTCCAAGAACTGACTGAGGGGATATTTAATGATGTTAAAAGTGTATTCACCTGATAAGGCCCAATGCCTGTATGCACCATTCCTAAAAATATATAATTCGGATGCATTTATGAAATATAGAACAAATGATTTTTTTAAAACAGGAAATTAACCTGGTGCTTTCATAATATATGTACTGTACAGTACGTAATTAAAAAATAAATGTAAAATAAAATACGTACCTGTCCTGTGTCAGGTAAGCTTGGTATTTGCATTCCATATCTTTCCATGGTGCTTTCCAGTAGCTATTTTATTTATGTGTTGACATGTTGTATTCTGACACTGGACTTTCAGGAATAATTAAATACCAATTTAAACCAGAAGTTTATATCCCCATGGTATAAGAAAGATGGAGAGGAATGCCACAAACTCCACAACCTGAGTAGCCATCTGCTAAGACCCCTAGTTCTACCTGCTTCTCCCTTTACTCAATGCAGCACTTGTCATATCTTAAGAAAGAAAAACGTGTTGTTATTTTAACTTAAGTTACATTGTCAAATTTATGCATTGATCACGCAATAAAAATGAACCAATCTTAAAATCCTTTTTCATAATTCCTAGAAAATAAAAAAAAAAAATGACAGTCAATGTAATCATTACTAGGCCTAGTTTACATATCATTTTTATTTAGGCATTAAAAGTGATTCAGCAGTTGGGGGGGGGCACTGACACTGTATGTCCAACAGCTTACTTACACTATAGGAAATGTGAATTGAAAGTTATGATTGGTCAATGTACACTGTTAGAAATGTACCGAAAATGTAATAACACTTGTGTAAATTGGTACTTTTAAAAGTAGTTGACAGTGCAAAAAGTTGACTAACCCCCTCCCCCACGAAATAGGATTTTCGACTTTGGGCAACTTTACTTTAATGAAGTACACATGTTGTTTACATAAAAATTATTATATCTTTAAATATGTATAAAAATATTATTAAATATTGCTTTTTTTTTTTTATTTCTTGTCATCTTTTTAAACAACACTTCAAAAGTAAGTAAAAAAAATTTTCTCTGCCTATACTGCATGTGTATAAATCTGATAAAAAAAAAAAATTCCCCAAGTAATGAAGTATGAACTCGAGTTCCTCCCAATCACTTGATATTCTGTTAAAAAATTGTTTAAAAGAAATATATGTTCCTAAAAGAATTTTATAATTATCCATACATTAAAAAAAATGGCAGTTGCAATGTAATCATTACTAGTTTACATATCATTTTTATTTAGGCATTAAAAGTGATTCAGCAGTTGCCAGTTGATGTCACTGACACTGTACATTTTTGTCAGATTAGCAGCTGATGGATTTATTTTAAGAAACTATATACCAAATGAAAGAAAAATTTTCTCCTTCTGTTTATTGCTAAAGTAGCTAGGGTCTATTCCTCGATATCTTGATCAGTGTTTATCGGTTTATATACAGATGTAAGTGCTGTGTGCAATGATATTTGTGATGAAAGATTTATGTATATTTAAAACATAGAGAACACAAAGGAAATAATAGATTCTAGTCTTATGCATTACCTCGAATTTTCTGTAGTTCAATGTTGAACATGTTGAAGGAGACGGGAACGTCTCTACATGTACTGTAGGTTCTGGTACATTGTCATCATGATCATGTCCAGTCTCACCCCCGGTAGATCGATTCACGTCATAGTTATGGTTTAAATTAACCCAAATTTCTACCCAACGATTCTTGACAAGTTAGAATTTTTTCTGTATTGCGATGTTTTCTTTGAAAAACCTTGTTTTTTCTATTTTGCCATGCTACATTGACCGTTGACGATGTCCTGGACGCCATTGTTTACATTTACCGCGCTGATGCGGAATATGTCGTAAACCGTATATTTTCGATAAATTATAAATATTAGAACATGAAAACCCATAAATATTAGTTTTATATGTAATGTTTTACTCTTATATATAGTTTTGAATACAAAACTATTCATTTACACAACTTGTCAAATTTACGACATTTGTAAGTACGGCGACCCGTTGTTGTCAAAATATGGTGAGTAAACAAGTACCTTAAAAATGATAATGCCAATGGTAAAACTAGTACTTAAGTTGGGTACGTGACGCAAGCCCATTGTGATTCAGGTGTTCAAATACATGTATAGCGGAAGAACAAATTGAAAATTATCATTTACGAAAGATGTTTTATCTTAACATTGCCATCTAGGCATATTTCCAAAAACAGACAAATAAGGTGTGTCTGTGTGTGTGTGTTGATGGAGAGGGGGTGGGGGTTGACTACATTGATTGTGTATATGGCAGCTTTCAAGAAGTTTAGAACTGCCTAATCAAATATAAATAAACTTTGCACATTTTGAAAAATTCATCAAAAACGCTTTACACTAATTTGAATAATATTATTTGTTATTGATCTATAGATATGAGAAAATAGATTTAAAAGTTTTAATTATGTGCCAAAAATTTATACCCCCCCCCCTCCTTATCAAACCTAATTTACATCATTAATTTAATTCTGTTGTTTAATTTCAGACTGGTAATGAATTAAGAATATGAAATACCTATTAGATGGAGGCCCATGGGTCACATGGTCACCTCAGCATATTATGCTCAATTTGATAAAACATGTATTATGTAAATTATTGAATTATATTGACTTTTTCCTTGGAAAAGCCCAATATGAAGAAGTCTGCATTTAGAGGCAAACACCTTAGTGCGGGTATTACTGTCTCATGACAGCATCTAGTTTAAAATCTCCATTACTATTTGTTTTAAAGAGTTTACCAGTAGTGCAAAAACCGTAATTGGTAATAAAAGAAATGATACGTTATAAAGATTACTTCATATTCCGTAATGCAGATACTAGTGTATAGTCTTATACAGTTATAAATACAGAATTACGGTACTATTTAACTATGTAAAGCAAAGGAAAAGATGTGGGGATTCAAAACTTGAATTAAGCTGGTTTCACTCTGTTTATTTGCATTTATTAGAATGGTATTCAAGACTCTCTCATTTATTTGGCAATGATCAGTTATTTTTAAAAATTTCATAATTTTAATTAAAACATGTATTTACAAGATTTTCATACAGAAAGGGGTCGATTTAAAAACTCACTGATTGCGATACATGTAGACTATTCACTTGGGACGGTGCAAAACGGAAGTAAGAATTCACCAGGTCAGATAATTCAAAGGGAAACTAATTTTGATTTAAAAATACAATGTTGACACGAGTTTAATTAAAAAATGGAGGGAAAAAAATCATTGAAAATAAAAAAAAATACATCAATATGAATTTTCAATCAAAAAATCGGAATAAATGAAAAAAAATGGGAATGAAACATTTGGCCTCTTATGAATTCATCCATAAAAAAATTCAACTGAACCTTGAAAAAATGTTATCATGAGCAAAGTGAAAGTATATGAGAATATACGTGAAATATATAAAGTTTCCGTATGCCTTTGACAGGCCTGTTTCAACGGTTTTATCTAAAAGAAATCTGAAAGCCCTACCCTACCCCAAAGTCTTAAACTGTCCAAAAAGTGGGGGCACACACCGCCTAATAAAAAAAACTCTTTGCGGTCTATTGGCCTATACTTTATAAAAATATTTGTACAGCAACCTATTTTGTAGTATGGATTTCTGTAGATATTGATTCCCCATGATCCACCACAAATTTGACGAACATCTCCACGGCATTGCATGTTGCATTCGCCTTCAGGCTTTTCTACTCTTGATGTAATGTTGTTTCCACAAAAACATTCGTTTGAATTCTATAAAATTAAATAAAAATGCATTGTATTTCTTTTAATGTCCTTTGGCTACCGTGAATTTGAATGTATTAGATTATGTATGTACAGGTATTAGACTAAGTCACCTCAACACCATAATATTTTGTTTTCTTTTCTGAGCAAATGTTTTTACACTCTGTTACAGTCGTCTTATCCGATGTTATAGGCCCATCTTTCAAGGTTCTCGACCACTGATCTTCAAAACAACCTAGATATCCTTTAAAATAGACAGAAACAAAATATTGGACTTGATATAATAAGACTGTTTAAGATTTAAAAATAATTAAAAGATATCACGACTGAAATAAGTTAATGAATGAGGGCTTCCACGAAACAGCTTCTGCTAAGCAGCAGCTAAGTCTCAGTGTAAAGGTGTTTGTTCTAGAATCGCGGAGTAATGAATTTATCCTAACGTCGCCGTTTCAAATCCCACTGTGGGACGTAGCGACGAGTTCTTTGGATGAGACCGTATAAACCGAAGTCCTGTGTAGCAACAGATGCTGACACGAAAAATATCGCTCACTCCTCAATGTCCATGAGTGCTGAGTATAGTTTAAAATTTGCAGCTCTCTACTTGCAAGTGGTTGTGTCTCCAGTTTAATTACAAAATTTTGAGAGGGACGTTAAACATAAAACAAACGAAACATATACAGCTTAATAATCCTAGTCTACAGTATTATTCATGAATTGTGAAGTAAATCATATATTTTTGTTTCTTAGTTTTATATAGAAGAATAAATATAAAATTAATGCATATAATTAATTTTCAACGTTTAATGCAACCATTATATTTCTCTGATAATAAATACGAAAAAATTTGTTTTACAGACATGACAAGATTATAAAAACACAACCGAAACTTTACACTATTATGAGTTTATTGGTTATTCATTGGTTTTCAAAAATCGATAAGAAAGGGGTGCATAAAATTTCTTTATGTGAACAAAGGATACCTTTATCTTCACAGACTCCGGAATATGACTCAGAACAACCAGAAGATATGGAAAACGTTTCGACAGTACCACAGTTGATAGCAAGACAGGCTGATTTTCTATTAAATTCAGTTGATGTCAAATTTGTTGATTCTGGTGTATCTATATCTATGAATATGAACAAGAATTAACCAGTGACTATTTACAACCTCATCAAATTGCCCCCACACCTTTTTTCTGATCGAATGAATCTAAACTTTGAAACACTTTAAGTGCAAAGATTATAGGGAAAAGATTGAGTTTAAAGAAAGTTTTTGAAAAAATGCAGAACTTACTTAATTCACCCATTCTCAATATAAGGGCTCAAATAATGTCGCCTCATTTTCATTTAGAAGAAATACCACTGATGTAATTTTTAAATCAACATTATAAATAGTCATTTAACAATGAATAAGAATTCATATAATTATCGATCTGAAAGGGTATTTAAGGAGTTCCAAATTCAAATATAGTAGCCTATTTGAAATGTACGTTACTGTCGCCGAGGCAAATATTATGCTGAATCCCCTCTGTGTAATATATAGTTTTGATTCTCAAGTAAAAATTTTCGGATAAGTTAAACCTTGTATCATATATATTTCTTTTCATAACAATAAATACATTTTCTTAGTGATAATAAATAATTTTTATTGTGCAATGTCCCTGTCGCTTAATTCTATTTCAACCACATTACAAACAAACACAAAGATTATACACCTGATAGTTTTGTTCTCCTTTATTTATTGATGGGCTAAATTTGAAATTTCAAAGGATTAATTACTCCTACTTAGATAATGTAACATGAAATTGAACAATTTGAGCAACTTTTATCAATATGTTTACGGAATGAAAGACATTTTCAATCGTAGAGATAAGAAAGAAATGTACGTTACCTATATTTTTCCATTAAGAATATATATTAAGTAGAAAATATGAGACGACTCTGAATAAGCAAACCCTTGTATCCTGTAAACTGGCAAAGACGTTTTGCTCAACACAATTAAAAATTATTTTTTACATGAAAAGTGATCATTTGAAATGTACGTTACTGAAATGTACGTTACCATGAAATTAGAATTAAGTGAATCTCGCACGAATTTTCATGTATTCTCATACTTTCACACACTCGAATGTGTACACAAAGGAAAGTTTCAAAGGTTGGAGGTCGGCTAAATCCCAAAATTAATGAAAAGAAACGTTTCTGTTGAGGAAAAAAATATATTAAGGTCAATTATATGTAATATAATTTTGATACCTGGAATATATTTCTGAATACGATATGAATATGAATATGATATGCAAGTTCAGATAGTATCAATATATTGCGTGTCTAACGTACGCTTGTGGAAGAGAATTGATTTTTATATTTGAAATGTACGTTACATATGGTAACGTACATTTTGCGTATTTCTAACAGACATATTTTTTTATTTAGTCAATGAATTGCGTTTACACGAGCGAAACAAAATTATCGTTACAATCCATTTGACAACTGGCAACATAAATCCATCTAAATGCACCCCCAATCCTCTTAAATGTGGTAGAGTGTTACCACATACTAGAAAATTTATTTTTAAGTGTCTTTAATTCATCTTTGGCAACCTTTTTGCATTTTGTTTACTTTTAATATGCGACTTTTCGTCAATATTAATTTAATTGTTGTTGATAATTTAAAACAAGGTATGCATAGGCTTATATAATTGGTAAAAAAAAAAAAAAAAAAAAAAGAAAAAAAAAAGAAACAAAACAAATAAACCCAGAACACAAGACGGTCACGTACATTTTAAATACTGAAAGGCACACAATACTCAGTTTTGTTTGAATCATTGCATTTTGGGTTATATTTTTCCAGATCTGCTGAAAAGCACGTATGTTTGTGTTTTGACAAACGATGTTGCAACATACTAAATAAAATTGTTAACAAGACTGTCGATGGATATATTCGGAATAGATTTATGTTAAGTTTCAATGGCCAAACACGAGCATTTGTTAGATCATAGCAAAATACGTCTGACTCTTATTTTTTTTTTGTCTGTACCTTTGCACACAGGTAGAAGTAACTAGGCTACGACCGGTGTCAATTTCAGCGAAACAGCACAAAAGAATGGTAATGAACTGAGGTGGAGGGGACTCCCCAATAATATGTGAAATGAGCGTTACCGAAGTGACGTGACCTTCGTGTAGTTGATGACAATAGCCTCGTTTGTTACATTATGATTTCTTATATTACTGCGTTAAAACTCTTCATTGAAATGATTTTCATGTCAATAATGGCTTTTTTTTTCAATATTTTCTTATTACTAATTTACATATCATTACAAGCTTGAAATGTACGTTACCTACTCATATTCTGAGGCAATCGTGTCTTTATAGTGGTGATTGTGACATATAACACAATGTGATTACACAGAGAATCTTTTTTGGAATAAACTGAAACAAAACGATGAATTTTTAGATGAATTTTAAGCTTTTTATTAAACAGAAATATATCTTGAAATGTACGTTACATTTACGTAGTTTTCTAAATCGGCATGGATATATGTTAAAAAAGACAGTAACTACAAAATAGAATTTTACTACATGTACATGTTAAGTTCCAGTATCTATAGAAAATGACAAGATTCCAAACTGATTGCTCTAAACAAAACAGAGAGAAGAATTCAAAGCATATATTTAAAAAAATGTTTTTATACATCTGGATCAAAAAGTAACCTTTGTTTTTTGAAAGGAAAAATCAAACGCACGTTCGTATGCCGAGAAAATATGTTGCTGACAGACTTGGTAGGATGTTCTGGTATTAAGATGAGATATTCCAATTGTGATTTTAATGACTACATTTTTTTTACATATCTTTTTGGACATTGAAGAAAGAGTAACGTACATTTCAAGCTACATTTTTGAATAAAATCACCCTCTACTTTACCGTCTTGTCATTAACCCATGTTTTAATATTTGATGAAAAAAAATCTGGAAACAAAATCTTCACATACTTTCTTTCAAAGGTAATTGATAGAAAAATTGTTATCTTGAACTTCATTTTTTAAAAAATCAGAGAGGCATTTGTGCCCTTATATTGAGAATGGGTGAATTATGTTAAAACAATATTTTAAACAAATCTGAAATTATTATACAAATATAGCCCTTTTACTTCGTCAATCCATATCGACTTGACAGAAATGTATATCGATGTGCTTTTCTGTTTTGTCGATACATTATGGATTGACCCAGGGTTTTCGATTATTTCAAACTGAACTGTGACGCAATATTAACGCGAAGTGCTATTATCATTCGATTATTTTGCGAAAAAAATCGGGAAGGAACCGCAAAATAAATTTCAAAAACACTCAACCCTAATGAAACAATTGTTAGTTATTGCACAAATGGTACTTATTATTTGCCAAATTGAATAACAAATTCATTACTGGTAATAAAAGCAATTTATCGATCTTGAACAAGCATGGTGTAAATAAAAAATAAGAATTTTTCCGAAATATATGAATACTGTAAAAAAAAATGAAGTAAAGCAAAATAGAATAAACAAATAAAATCACACAAACGTACTACTAAGCTAAACAAATATTGGTTCATCGAATCTGAAATAAAAGTACCAGTAACAATAAGGTTTAACCATTAAACTCTATTTGAAAAAAAAAATGTTTACAAAAGATAATAAAGGTCATAATGGACACAGAAAAATCTGGAAAGTTACACAATTACGCTAAATATCTGCAGTCAGCTGTCTGAAGAGTTATAGGGCCTATATTAAAGGTACTTGGACACAGATTTTAAGTTAATATTTTCTGTATACTACACGGTAATATGACGAATTATATATTTTATTAGCATTTCACACAAAAATTAATTAAAAACCTTATTTCATTTAAAAGTTATTAAGACTTCAAATTTTTTGGCGGATTTGATTGACACATCCTTGCACTTTCACATATTTTAATTTTATTCTTAATCCTTCAGAAAAATGGCAATCTTGTTGTGTTTTAATGAGACATATTAAAACTTTAATCCAGAAAAATAATTTTATTCGGAGTAGAAATGTTAGAAAGCAAAACGCCTTCACAAGTATCGTAATTCCGAGCTAAGTCGTGTGTGCAAATCGATCACACTCGTGTTATGTACACAGTTTTTGTAAACAAGGCAGGAGCTCTGTTTTTGTTGATGTTTTGATTTTAGCGGGTGCGTTCAATAGTCAAAGTCTGCTCACCACAACTGCACGGACTAAGAATATATTGTGTGTTTGTTTCGTTTTCGAACATGTCTACTCTGAATTTTCTGGATTATAGTATTAATACTTTTCATTCATACACAACAAGATTGCCACTTTTCCTAAGTATTAAGAGTAAAATTAAAATTTGTAAAAGTGCAAGGATGTGTCAATCAAACCCGCCAAAAAATTTGAAATTTTAGTAACTTTTAAACGAAATAAGATTTTTAATTAATTTTAATTAATTTTTGTTTGAAATGCTATTAAAATATATTATTCGTTATAATATAGAGAAAAAATTAACTTCAAATCTGTGTCCAAGTACCTTTAAAACGTTAATTTTTCAACATTGCAAAATATTACGTACAATACATGTGCGATGTTTGACCCGCCCTTCGAAGCCAATTTTAAAGACGTTGTTCTCTGCAGAACTGCGTGAATCAATTAATACCAAAAAAAATCGTTTGAAATTATCGTGTCCTATGGAAAAAAATAGCTTGTCCCTTTTCATCCGAGTGTCCAGCGAGTTCTAGAAGATAATTGCTTGTACAAGTCAAACAAAGGGTCCTACATTTGTATAATGAATTACAAACGGCAATGCATTAGAAAATGAAGAACGTATTAGTGATGTTCAATGAGTCTATAAATTTGCAAATTTATCTTACTGCCGACGATGAACTTAATGTGGCGCTAAGATTTAAACTATGGCTCTGATATATTTTAACTGTGGCGCTTAACGATTTAACTGTGACAGCACCACCGCGTTAAACGGCCCATGGAGAAACCTGATTGACCGAATAAAAGGGCTATATTTGTTATAGTATTTTAGAGAGATTGACACAATAAATATTTGAGATGATAAAAACAAACCTATGATTTGATGCACAAATTATTTTAAAGTAACCTGTTTAATGCCGTCGTATTACCTTATATACTGATGTACCAATGAATTATTGTAGAAAAAACGGTAGCAGATATATCTCTGCATTACTAATATTTTATAAAAAAAAAATATGTAAGGAGCACAACATTTATTAATCACCATATTTCAGTAATGGAATTAACCTGCAATGTATAAAGTGTAGGCGTTAGATCCACCGCATTCTGAGAATTGTATGTCACTTGAGTCTTGATTGCATGCTTCATTACAGAAGTTGGATGGAATCGTTCTAGCCAAAACTGGACTCTTAATGCACACACATTTATTTTTCTGCAAAGAATCCATAAAATATTCTCAGTTTGAAAGTATTACTGAAAAAAAAAATTACTAGGGACAGGTATTAACGATACAAAATAAAGATGATATGGGATAGCAGACGTAACTTCAACCACTTCTTTATTACTCAAATCAATGGGATGATACCCCCAGAACTTTAAAACTGGAAATTTAGATTTTTCTGAAATTTTCCCATTTGGTCAACATATATGTTGAATTTTTTAAGAAAAAAATATTTTGCCACGTACCTACCGACCTACTATTATTACCCTTAGTTGTCGGGAAAGAGCAAGCAAACATTATTTCAAAGATGGCCTCATAGAAAAAAAAATGGGATAATATTCTCTGTAAATACTACCTTAATTCCAAAAATGGTTGAATTTACAGTTGTACACATTTCTTGACAAAATCCAGCTGACGGATAGTGCATCTGGAATTCTTCGTGGTGTTGTACCGCGTTTAAATCATAACAGCCTACAATAAATTGTAACCTTACCTGAAATCTTTCCATATCAAATAAAAAGGGTAAATGCATACATGCATTGCATTTTGAATTTGACAGTTGCAGATATTAATAAAACATCAAGCTCTTTCTCTATCTCTCAAACACAATTTACCTAGAATTTTTATCCACAATGAGTGTCGTTTGTATACACCAGACCAAAAATCCACTGTTGAATTGGAAGAGGCATTATATTCTAATGTGTCATTGTCTTTACTGCAATATCGCTGAGCCTCAAACCAATTCCAAGACATACTTATGATATCAACTAAAAATAAAAATCAACATATTTTATTTTAAATTATAATTTATGCCATCTTCTTTTTAATTTGATAAAATTGCATACTCTGAGGGCTCTTTAGAAACTATTGAGACAGTGTAGTCATTCTTCTCTCTAAATTTTCTTGGTGAAATTTGGTAGATGCATTCAACAATTTCTAACAGAAACCCTTTAAACCATGGAATGGTAAATATATAAAATATACAAAAGGGAAAGGAAATCCGGTTGATCAGGGATTAACACAATAACTAGCTGGGTACATGTAATCAGCAACAACTCAGAGACTTATATATTTAGTGCTAACTACACTCCATCACTATATTACAATAATGCTTATGCATAAAATACAGTGTTTCCGAGGTACATTCAGTACAATACTTTTCACTTATTTTCCTCTTGTCGCTCTTAGAATACATGTAACATTTAATGTTTAATTTAATATATATGCGCCTCGTATTTAATTACAAATCCGCTCGACCATTAAAACTATAAAAATGCATTGTATACTACATTGTAGCGATCAAATCTTCTTATTTCACCTGTATCTGCTAAATATACAGTACAAAAGAAGACATTTTTCAGATAATCAAATGCATATTCACGATATGTTCAATGATATCCGCCCCTTACCCTTGAACATCAGATCAGGGGGCCATAGACAATCATAAATTTGACTATCTTGCTCAACACAACTACGCTTTACCTTTATTTGGTACATTCACAAGTTCACAGATGGTTTTTAAAGACTTAACGCGTTTTGACTGTATAATCAAACACAGCCCATACCCCAACCAGTACTTGTCACCCGTAGGCCAAAAATTTCAATTTTGGAAGAGGCACCTTGGAACATCATAGCTATGCAATGCCATGTAGTTATTTGCTTATTATAAAAAAAAAATTGCTTATGACCCTTATTCCTATGGACAAAATACCAGGCTTTATACTTTAGAATCAGTTCAATACATTTTTATTCCAGTTAGAGATTTAGGAAATTTTTCCATTCCAGCCACATTCATACGGGGTACATATACCCGTAAGCGAGATTGCAACTGAACCAAAAAAAAAAACGGTGACCAAACTATAATAAGTTGAAACCCTTTACCTCACAATTTTGAATGTGTCTTTTCGGGACAGAGTAGCCGTACATGTATATTTGACCTCAAGGGACAGAAATTGTTAAATCTCTTGCTGTGATAATACATGTAAATAAAATGAATATTCTTAATATTTTTTCATCGGAAATAGTTTATAGCTAAAAATTCAATCAAATCAAAGAAGGTACTGTGAGTTTTGCAAAAAACATCAAATGATACAATTCAAAATATGTGTGAAAATATATCAGGAAATGTAACATTTTACATGTTGGTAAGAATATCAACTAAGACAACGTGTAGGTCTTATTCACACAAGTGTAAATACATGTACATATACGCTTCCGAATAATTTCCCTCATCCTAAGTATTTTAGATTTTATTTTATTTTTTTTATGTATCAGTCTCGATTCGAAAGTTACTCTCACAATTTGTTCACATTTTGTTGACATTTTCTCTAATTTAGATATGTAGCCTGCATGTCGAGTCATTATTTCTAATATATTTTACTTTCATGAAAATTACAGGAATCAAATAGGTCGGGAAACATTTGTGTAGAAACATTATGACCCAAAGAATACTAGTAATAAAACCATGCCCTCAAGAGTAGCAATACAGTCAATACTGCTTGACGACGGGTGATATTTCACAAAATATTGACTGCGTAGAACTTATGCGTTCAATGTTCACTGAAATATGTTTAATTGTAATCACAATGAAGTTTTTTTTGTATGTGTCACAAATCTTTGACACAAAATGCTTATGTTATTTTGTTAAAATGTCATGAGAACGCTCTTAAAATCATACAGAACTACTGGTTTGTAATTGACATTTCATATAAGCATTTTTTTTACATTCCAGGAAAATTTAATTTTAAACAATTGCTTTTAAAAAGAAGTTTAATGATATGCTTCTAAAACGTTTGAAAAAGGTACAAATCTATATAAAACCACGATATAGAAATAGCAGTTTGGCAAATATATCAAAGAAAAATAAACCTTTCTTTCAATCAGTGTTCAACGTTTATTGCAGTCCGGAGGACCGAGCTGCTCTATACATATAAGTTTAAGTGTTGGTGTATGGGGATTGAGGTGGGAGAAGTTATTCAAAATTAAAGGTTTTTTTAAACAATGAAAAGATTGTTAATCAGACTGTTCTTTCCATTTATAAATTAAAGTACATAATATATTTACTTCCATAAAGTGCGTCTGCAAAAATATGTATGTTTTTCGTATTTTTGATATATAAAATTACTTATCTTTTACTATTGAAAAAACGACAGGTCCCTTTTTTAAGAACATCAAATTTTACTTATCGCATAAAACGTACTCTACACAGTTCGTGTTGTATATTCTTAAAGTAAAATACATTTTTGATTATAGGTAATGCATGTGTCTAGTCTTAATTTATATTTTATGTAGCCTACATTTACTTGAGGCATTGATAAAGTTTAAAAGGGTATCATTTTCGTTCGATTTTTATCCTACTATAAGTTTTCAAAATATTCTCGACTATCGTCTCCATCATTTAGATGCATGTTCTTTTTACACAAAGCGAAGCAGTTTGATGATCAAAACTCATTTCCATTGTTTATTTTATATTTCCCGGGCGACAATTGATGGTTAATCAATGCTTTCTTGTTCAACATTGATATTTGTGGAAACAACGTTGAAGATGAACTTTACGAGATAACGCTCGTTTACTATTGTAACTATTTGAGTTTTAAAATTAAATCCATTATGGTCTAAACATAAATATTTTGTACACACTTGACAGTGTGTCATAATAAATAAAACAAGCGTGTATCCATGAAAATGTAATAAAACTTCGATATCCATATTTTTGACATTATCATGAAATCAGTATTATGCCAAATATTTGACGTTGAAACAACGCTAAAGTTTCAACGTTAATTGCCTCAATTTCTATATGCAATCAAATTTTAACGTAAATTCAAGGCTTAAGGGCAACGTTGATTCAACGTTAAATCAATGTTGATATGCCATAGCATATAGCATGAGGCGGCTATACATCTCATGATAAGATAATTCATTTGTTACAAAGGGATACACAATTATCTCGTTAAAATGCCTTTCGTATTAGATAATCCTCTTATGAAAAGTAGAGCTTTTTCGGATGAACGCATCTTTTCTTTTATATAAATATCCTCAAATGTACAAAATAATACTTTACTTCACATTGTTAAAAGTATACTTACCATTCAATACCAGAAGTGATAAACAGAACAGGCAATGCAGCGATGATTTACACTTTTTCATTTCTGACACATCTTTTCTAATCTAAATTTAAAAAAATGTAAAAAATAATAAAGAGTAAGTCATTGTGTTAAGGAACAAATTGTTTGTACTCGGCAATTATGAGAAAGTCGTCGAAATGTAACCACTTAGCATATATAATTTCATCCTTGTTTTATGTAAACAATCGGTACCTTCTTCTTGTTTATATTCAGAAACTTAACAACTCTTCATCCACAGCACATCCGGATTGACTGTATATTTCAAATTGCCTCTTAAATATACAAACCCTAATGTTGAAAAACAGTGAATAACGAGTGAAATGTTATGTACCGCAAGTATTATATTTAAAAAAGAATCTTGAATATCTTCATTCTAAGCTCATTTAAATATAATCCTATAAAATTTATGTAAACTATAGTGGTTACATATTGTAAGTCTCAAGATTGTTACATATAAAAGGAACTTTGAATAAAAACTTAGTTGGAAAATACAATAAATTTATTTGTGATTTGTTGATTTGAAGGATTTATTGGATGTCATCCCGTATTATTCTTGTTTCGTAAGCTTCATTAAAGTTTTCTTGTTTTGTTTTTACAGATATAGTCTTAAAAGTGCAACAACGTAAGCAAAACAAGGTATGCAAACAAATATTCATAACGAGGTAAATTGTCAATATTTATTGGTGGGTCTGGAACCGAGATTTGAAGTTAATATTTTCCAATGATTTCACTTTAATATATTGACTGATGCGACTGTTAGAGTATTTCACTCCTAAATATAATAGAAGAGTGTTTAGAATTTTTAATGTGCATTATTAAAACTACTTATTTTGGGATGTGTTTGATTGACATATACACTGTCACTTTATCCTTACAAACTAGGTACTTAGTAAAAGTAAAAACAAATGCACAATGATAAGTATTTCTAAAGCACATGGCAATAGAATATATAATTGCTTATCGGTTATCAGCAATGCGTTCAGACTAATCTTATAATTCTTCTAAATTTCAAGAAGTTTTTTTCCGAATAGATAAAATGTCTTTAAAAACAACAGAAATAAAAAAAAAAAACAACAACATTTTATTTGCCTTCAGGTTTGATCAGAAAACTACACGTACATATAAAACTTTTAAGATTTCAATTTCAATGAACAAGAAACCAGAAGTCTCTGTCAAGAGTGTAGCTCTACTGGTTTGAACTTGTAACGAAGGCAATGAAAAGTAGCAGTTGAACTTGAAACTTGCAAGTTAAGAAAATATAAATATAATAAGGATCCTTGATTGTCTCTTTTTGTGGGTAAACTGCAACAAGACAACAACTGTCGGAATAGCATCTTAAAAGAATTGTACAGAAATTTCAATTTCAGTTACCATGGCAGCATCTTTGATTAAATTCAAAAATTATTGTTAATGATAATTTACTGTTTTTATCCATGACCACTGAATGGCAAAGTAAAATTATAGTGGTTCATTTCTACATAAACGTTAAGATCAATGTGTAAAAAGTTTTCTTACTTCACATTTCAGAAAAAAGAATAGATCCGTCCAGAGTGAGTACTGTTAATCTTAAATTTTTGACTTTGAGAAAAAAGTTTTTCTTCGCTATATAAACACAGCAATATTATAAAAGTTTTATCAAAAAACGAATTACGACATAATATACTCACAAACTGAAAATGACATTCCCGCATATGAATAATGTAGCTCTTATACTAAAGCACTCTGTATACTGAAAGTTGACAATCTTCCAGTCTTTGAAACAGTATACTTCTGATTTCTTTGTCATAAACAGCCCTTAGTCATTTATTTTCGTAATGAATGCACCGGATCCACTTTTAAAGAAATAACAAAGACCGATGAACATAAAAGTAACTCAGCTATGTTAAGGAAGGTCAGAGTTCAAATTCGTATACTGTATAGAAAGTTAATTGTGACGTCACGGATAATTTAACAAGCCACAGAATTAATTAAAAGTATACACGCTATAACTTGCACCAGTTAAAATACGATTGGAAATTGATATCATTTGTTTATCAATAAAAGTTACGAAAATGCTGTAAATTACACTATTAAAATTAAACGTGTTACAAAGTTATCAAATTATAATTATTTATTATCCTGCAAGGAAAGAAAAATAGCTATTTTTAAATAAATCCATCACGTGACGCCGGCGCTACTTTTAGAGTGTATTCGATTAAGCCAACCCGTGTCGCACTAGTGTGGAATTTTGTTATTTATAATATGCCTTTTGATATATCAAAACTCTAGAGAAATATATTTGTCCAAACATCATTTTTTTTTCGATCATCAAAAAACCCAATATTTGTTCAAAAATGACAATAAATCTCCTTTTGAATAGATATTCTATTTATTCATATAAATAGTTTTGCCAGGAATATGATCTTGAATTTTTTTGACAGTCATGCAGGAATGTGTCTGCAAACTAAAACCGGTGATTTGTTCATTAGTTGCCATGGATTCCTGTTCCCATGGTAACAAAAATAATAAAAAATTAAACCTTATATATTCCTTAGTACGGCTTTGTGCAGGGACAAAAATAAAAAGCTTTAGTAGGAATGAATTAGTATAGTATTAATTTGTTAGTGAGGATCTAAATTAATTTTTTTTAAAGTTAAATAGGGGATAATGTAAGCACAGATATCCGATATTTTTTTTCAAAGGTGGGGGGGGGCATCAAATGTCACAGATGTTAAGTCTCATAATTTTTTGACAAACAAAAATAAATAAACAAACAAGTAATAAGAATTTAAAATAAATAAGAATTTAGAATGTTTTATGGTAACAATTTCCAAAACAGTTAATTTTTAAAAAATTATAATAAATCAACATAAGGTTTTGGTTTTAGTCGTAAGTTCTTTTGTAAAGCAGGTCCCAGGGGTTCGGGCAACAATTATAGGCAATGTTAAAAAAAAATCTGGATAAACTTCTTTATTTTAAAAAAATCAAAAAATGTCAATAATAAAACTAGAGGTACTGTGAGCGATGAGCTCACTAAATGATACCCCCCGCCTCCCATATTGTTATAACTGGTGAAAAAGTCCATGTTTTCCTGTGGCCGGGAAACCCAAAACATGTGTCGGATCAAAAAGTAAAATAGGAGGTGCACAATGGCAATATGTAATAAAGATTCTGTGAAAGTTTCATTAAATTTCATTCAGTGGTATGAGAGGAGTTGCGGATAAGAGATGGGCACCCCAAAGCGTAACAGACGGACGGACGGACGGACGGACAGACAGACGGACGGACGTACAGACGGACGGAATTAACGATTACTATATACCCTCCCGCTTTTCAAGCGGGGGGGTATAATAACAACAGTAATTTTAAGAGGTTGACCTAAAAACAAAAAAAAAAAACAAAATTAAAAAGGGGGTGTTAAAATTATATTGCAGACTTTTTTCATTAAGGTTATAAATTTCTAATACAAACACTGACATATTTATGCAGAAACAGTTTTCGCATTAACAATGCGACTTCACTTCCCGCCATTTTTTTTTTACCTGTTACTCCAGGTAAACTGAGGATTGATTGATTGATTGTATATTGCTCCAGGTAAACTGAGGATTGATTGATTGATTGTATATTGTTTAACGTCCCTCTTGAGAATTTTTCACTCATATGGAGACGTCACCGTATGCCGGTGAAGGGCTTCAAATTTAGACCTATACTCGGCACTCAGGGCCATTGAGCAGTGAGGGTTCTTTATCGTGCCAGCGCCTACCGTGACACGGGACCTACGTTTTTAAGGTCATATCCGAAAGACCCGTGACTTTCACTTCTAGTGCCGAGCGCTTGGCGAAGGAACAGTCACTACCTTTGTTTACGTCTTAGGTATGACGCGGCGCCGCGATCGAGAATCGAACCCGGGCCTCCCGATCACGAAGCGAACGCTCTACCACTAGGCTACCGTGACCGGTGGTAAACTGAGGAGTATACTCGCGTAACACGGGTTGATCACCCGTGTCGAAGATAGGTTGTTTTATTTACAACTCTAGTGACTCGTGTAACCCGTGTCGCTTAATCGAATATACCCTAAGATTGATAAACACACGTGGCGTAAAGAAAACAAGGTAGGCCGTTTGAGATACTACTCACTTTTGACGTGGATGGCAAGCGTCTTACTCTTAATGGTACTTATCTTTTAATGTATTCAGTATCAACCATCTTCTCTGTTATGACGCATATTGACCTTATATTAATAATTGTTGTCAAAATGCAACATACCTCGTTGTCTGTGATTTCCCGTGGACATGTGTTTCTATATATAGGCCTACTCTTTACGCACTTCCTTCATCAATATTCATGAAAAGACTGAATTCTTTATTCCTAGATATGTTTAACTGTTTTGTTATTACAACGACATCTATAGTACAAGTTTGTGGAAAGAATTATTTTTCATTACACTTCATGTGTTTTAAATCATTAATCTTTTTTTTTTCACACAAACTTTGGGGTTCATACAGCGTATATGACTTTAATGATATTGTGATGCGTAAATAACATCTTAGATTTGTTCATTTTATCAATTATTTATAAAAATCTTGTAAAATTGCAATATTTGATAGCAATACAGTTGAGAAATAGAAGAAAGCCACTCGTTAAATATGACGTCATCAGCCTTGAAATGACGCAGTACAGGTGATCAAGAGGACGAGATTCACTGGTTTAAAAATAACAAAAGTGCTTAAATAGATATATAAAAATAACAAAAGTGCTTAAATAAATATAATATCGTCGCTAATTTTTTTAATAATCATTAAAACTAAAACAAAATAATTTATTAAATACAATTTGTATAGAATATGAATTTATCTAGTAGCATTGAAGCTGCACAGGGACAAGGAATGTGGAAAATATCGCTATAACGATAAGCGTATTCGTGATTTACACCAAAAGTGCAAGGGCATAGGCTTACACGTAACACTACACAAACGGAACAATTACCCCGCAATCTCAATACCGGGAGCCATAAATACCTCTAAATATTATATTTTCATGACTAATCGATTACAGATTACCTAACCAATTACCGTTTTCCAACCGATTTAACCGGTTACAAAGTGTCATCCCTAGTTTTTATGAAAATACTGTATGCAGGGTTATTTTAGCTCAATGTTTTTTTCGCCCTTTTACACTTGCTAACAATATTGTCCCGTTTTAAATTCGCCCAATCACAGTGCTGTTTAAGAATTTAGGTTGTGTTAAAGCAGTTTTGAATGGATTGTTTTCTTTTTTTTTAATTTTGACATTTAATTGTTGAAACTACAATTTTATTTTTTATTTTTTAATACATATTTTATAATCTATTCTTCAAATAAATGTTACATATTTTAAGACGGCATGCAACCACAAATTACATCAAGCATTCATTATGTTCAATACATTCATATCTTAGTCTTACCCGTTGATAAATTTTGATAAAAAATGCAATGCTGATAATCCTCATCTGAAAAAAAAATTAAATTCTTTATCCCGGAAGAAATAGTAGTTAACATTTGCGTTGTATTTTAAACTTCCTGTTATATAATATGTGGTAATATTACTGTAATTAAAAAAAACTAGAACGTCTGCTATTGCAAGCAATAGCGTACATGTATGTCGCCCGATTGATTGATTGATTGTATATTGTTTAACGTCCCTCTTGCGAATTTTTCACTCATATGGAGACGTCCCCGTATGGCGGTGAAGGGCTTCAAATTTTGACCTTTACTCGGCACTCAGGGCCATTGAGCAGTGAGGGATCTTTATCGTGCCATCACCTGCTGCTGACACGGGGCCTCGGTTTTTAAGGTCTCATCCGAAGGACCCGTAACTTCCACTTCAAAGTGCCGAGCGCATGGCGAAGGAACAGTTGCTACCCATTTTTTATCGACTTAGGTCAGTCGCGGCCGAGATGCGAACTCACGACCTCCCGTTCACGAAGCGAGCGCGCTACCGACTGAGCTACCGTGAACGGTTGTATGTCGCCCGAACTGGATAAGACATTCATTTTTATCATCACTAAAACAATACCCATTAGCTAAGCTTGGACAACCACCAACTCGTATCAGTCCCTATGATGCTTTGATTTAAAAATTAAAGTTGAAGAATTTTCACTTCTCCCCTGTTTCAATGGCAACTATTGACAATTTGCATTTTTTTAATGCAACACGCATAATTACAGATACTAATCATTAAATCAATAAACTTTCATGACGAATGTCCAAGGGACCAGAGAGATCGCGAAGACTCTTGGACAAATTTCGTTGCTTTTTTGCAGATTTCCATGGCAACGGTAGCCATTTTGAAATTGAATGACCACACAACATATCTACAACAAGTGATCGTCCTTAGAGAAAAGTCTCACCTATCTCCGAGAAACAGCCCGTAGAACAAAAACATGTGTAAAATATTGATCATAATTGCTTTTATCTGTGATTAATAAAATCAATAGAGGCTTCCACTTTAAACTTTTATTTCATATTTAGATGAGTCGCGTATTGTTAACTTTTGAATAATAATACTTGCAATTTTGAAGTCAAACATAAAATTTGAATATTTTATAGTTATCTATTTAAGGAATGACACTTATCCATGGCCACATTATCAAGTATAATCTGGTTTGTGTCAGTTCACACGTAATAATCCGCAAAGCAAAGAATTAGAATAATTCCTTATGATTTAATTTTAGAATAATTAAACATCTATGGATGTAAAATAGTGTAGCTTTTTATGAGTTCAAATTTACCCCGCAATAATACAACCGTAGTAATGGTCTTTCAGGTAAGGATATTTAAAATGTTAAAGTTTTGTGGCACAATATTTGAAATACATTGTCTCAAAAACTCATTAACGGAATTTAAAAAAAAAAAAGTTCAACCTTTGCATGAAAGATTACGTACGTTTTTGTCTCAATTTAATGCTTAAAATCTG